TTTTCATGGCTTCACATATTCATGTAGTCTCCTTTCTCTGTGTTGGGCTGGGCAAAACAGTTTCTGGGAAGCGATGAATGCTGATCGTGAGTTACGGGAACCTGGCATTGGGATGCATGTTCCTGACAACTCCGGCTATCTTGATTGTAGATACTTATGGAGTATTTATCACTTGGGTGTTTCTTGGACTGTCCCGGGAATGGGCCCATCTCTGCACAGAGCCACGTCTTTTCGTTTGTTAATTAGGTCTTTCTTTCTGCGCCATCTGTGGTTTCGCAATTTTGTGAGGCAATTTCTCCCCGGCTCCAGCTTGTGGGTTTAAAACTTTAAGAATATTTCTTACAAGCATAACTTATTTCCAGTATATTTCACATAAGCACAAATTATTCGAAATAATATATTACACTTCCCATTCTCTTTTTGTCCCTTTTTATCCTACCGACTGAGGGTTAAACCTGCAGTCTCTTGTAGCAGCAGGGAAAGCCCAAGAGAACCGCTGTAATTAAGCAGGGCACCTCCCACCCGGGACCCCCCGTAGCCACAGAGACTAGAGGTCCTGATCTCGGTGGGACCTCCATTCACTCTTTAGAATTTTTAAAAGTTTAATAAAGGATAAAAGGGCAAATAATTAATCCAGCGCTTGGGTGCTTTTGGCAAACGGCCAAAGAGCACACTGGTAGCTTAAAATCATGTTCTTTATATACAGTTACATTGCTGGGGTTACATGCATATTCATTAGTTTATACATTATTCAAACATTCCTTTGAGCTTTTGATGTTCTAGGAACTCTTTTCTTTGTTTTCAACCTCTGACTTGTCTGCATAACATTCTGTAGATTAGGTCCATATATTTTATTTCTTCTTGAAGTTCCATCCTGTTGTTTCACACTCCCTGATAACAAGTAGATAATAAATCCTCTCTAGGGCTCTGGTTTCTCTCACCATTATCTTATCTCTTGCAGAGGCCAGTCTGGGGATGTGAGAAACAGCATAATTGTTTTACACCATTCTTTGAGTTTGTTATATAAAAGCATTTTTAACATAACATAGTCTCTATTTTAACATTTTGCTAAAGTCTAGAATATAGTATTTTTATCACACTACTATTTATATAAACTATATGTTGCATACATAAACTAACGGATTATACTATACCCAAAAGCAATTAAAATGTAAGTATAAATTGTACCATATAAAAAATACTTGTGATTAATAAACAACATGCAAAAGCTAGTACATGAATGAGAAAGCCAATATTATATTGTCATTTTTCACATAACGGCTGCCTGCCCCCTTGTTTTCTTGCCTGTCTTCTTCGCCTGCATGCCTGAAATGGCATCTGCTCGCCCAGTGGCTCTTCCCCACTTTTTGTGCTTGCTGGGTGTTCCATCAGGTTGGTGCTCGTGGCATCTTTACTGTCATCCCTGCATCCTGCTCGGCTTTCAACCACCCCAGTTTGAGACTAGATTCCAGGGCTCTATAATGTTCATAGCGTCCATGGCAGCATCTAAAGCCTGTTTTATAAGCCTCCGGGGTTTTATAATGTCCATAGCAGCTTCTAGAGTCTGTTGCTTATACTTTATCTCCTGTTGAAGTTAAAAGGTTCATACCTTAACTACTAGGTTTTTCTCAGCTGAAATCCATCTTACCATGTTTCCAGTAGGGTTTTTCTTCTGTTTACAAGGGGTATTTGCAAAGGAACCCGGATTTGGAAGGTTTTCCACTGCAAACAGCTCTCCATGTTGTATTGTTGCAGCTTTTTGCTGCTGGTTTGGCAGCTCTCCAAGCTTGCTTTGATTTTTTTTCAGCTTTTTGCTGGTTTGTGGCTCTTTACGCACACTTTGTATTTCTCCCTCCGTTCTACTCATAGGATGGCTGCTGTCTTCACATTGGGAATCACCAGATATTACACTGGGGGTTGTTGGTTGGAGACAGAGACGACACAGACTCACTGAGGGTCCTCAACAAACAGCCCAGAGTTTATTATGGCTGCCTCTTTTATAGGGAGTTTGAATTTCCTGGGTTCAGACAGCCGATTGGTTGGGATTTCTCACCGCCCAGATCTCTGACCAGTGGTGTGTCTACATCTAGGCTTGAACAGGGTTGGCTGTCTTTGTTTGAGTTTGAATCCAACCTATCCCGGCCTTATCTGGAGACCTGGTTTTGTTTCCAGGTTGGTCGAGTTTAGGGGGGCAGCTTCAGACTAGCTGCAGTGTGACAGCACACAATCCTGGTGGAGCAAGCAGGAACTTCATTACTGTGCTATGCTACTGGTTTAAAAATTAGCTACCTTCTGCAGAGACAGGCATTTTACAGAGTAGCCCTCTAGTGGTGGCTTTTTAGGAAGAGCAGAACCAAACATCACCTAATAGGAATAGATATAACTTAACTACTCCACAGAGATGCATAGTATTTACAAAGCAAAAAAAAAAAAAAAAAAAAAAAAAAATAGAATTTGTAAGAAAATATGACCTGGGGTGGGGAGGGAATTTATGTGCTTGATGGATTTGTTTTTGTTTGTTTGCCTTTTTTATAAAAAAAAAACCAAAACTTTTTGTAAGTGAACCATTAATTCACATATGATATAACAATGTGCTACATATTGACTTACACATGTGATGCATTAGCTAGTAAGGCTTCCATCCTTAACTAATAATTCTCAAAGGCATGTTTCTTTGCTAACTGTACACAATCCTTTGCATATTCTGTAACTGCTATATAATAGAGCTATGCCATTTCAGGATAACAAAACTCAGGAAATCCAGCTAATCTCAGCTGAAATGTGATACACTGCAAGAATTCTAATTTCTCCCAAAGGAGAAACATATATTTTCAAAGGTATTATTTTCATTTGTATCCCCATTTCAAATCAGAGAAGCTGCCTGAATGTAGTGGGTTTGCATGGTAAAGATTTGGTAGTGTGAGGGCAACGGGTGGTTTCTGTGAGAAGCTGCCAGAAGCTTCCTCCATGTCCAACAGAGCTAATCCTTGGTAGCTCCGAAGACAGACGTGATACTGGCCAAGGCTGGGCCAATTAGAAATGGTGGTAAGCCCTCCATGATAACATATTTAAAAAAAAGAAAAAAACCAAAACGATGTGGTGCAGTTGTAATTGTGGCTAGAGAAGAGTAGGGTGAGAATATGTGAAAGGAACAACTCTGCAGACACCAAGGTCAGTGGAGAAGGACAGGGAGGAGGTGTTCCAGGCACCAGAGCTGAGACTCTGCAGCCTGTGGTGAAGACCATGGTGAAGCAGGCTGTTCCCCTGCAGCCCATGGAGATCCATGGGGATGCCTAGATCTACCTGAAGCCTTTGGAGGAGACCCATACTGGAGCAGGTGGATGCCTGGGAAGAGGCTGTGACCTTGTGGGAGGCCTGTGGAGAGAGGACCCCATGCCTGAGCAGCCTGTTCTTGAAGGACTGCACCTCATGGAAAAGTGACCGACATTGCAGCAGTATAGGGAGGACCGTTGCCCATGGAATGGACTCACATTGCAGCGGTTCGCAAAGATCTGTTGCTTGTGAGATGGACTTATGTTGGGAGAAATTAATGAAGAACTGTTTCCCATTGGAAGGACTGCATGCTGGAGCAGGGGAAGGACTCTTCTCCCTGAGCAGCGGGAGAAACAATGTGTGATGAACTGACCATAACCCCCATTCCCTGTCTCTCTGCACCACTGTGGTAGGAGGTAGAGCTGGAAGGAGAGAGAGGTGGGGGGAAGGTGTTTTTAAGGTTTTCTTTTACTTCTCATTATCCTTCTCTGATTTTGTTAGCAATAAATTCAATTATTATCTCTAATTTGAGCCTGTCTTGCCCATGATGGTATTTGACGAGTGATCTCTCCTGGTCCTTATGTCAACCCATGAACCCTTCGTTATATTTTCTCTCCCCTGTCCAGCTGTGGAGGGGAGGCATAGAGAGGTGAGTGCCTGGCATCCAGCCAGCATCAGATCAACTGAAAGCATGTAAAAGCAAAAACTTCCCTCTAAAATACTTAATTTTATTAGTGAAATGGTAGCAAGGACAAGTATGCAAAGAATTTATTTGCTCTATGCTACTTACACATCATAAATAAGACAGTTGTTGTAAGACACAGTCCTTCACAGTCTTTCTATAAGCATACAGATTTGTCGTTATTTGATCAAAATAAGCTGCTTACCAATCAACAGCATGTGGCTTAAACATCACAAAAATGGCTGTTCTATACTTTACATGGTAAAGCATTTTCTATAGTCTTAAATGTACACAGTCTCAAGAACATAAAATCCTATAAAAAAAGTGATTAAGCATCTTATAATCAAACTGGGTTATTTTACATTCCCTGTAATATGCTTTTCTTTTTCGTTTTTGTGGTAAGAATTACTTATGCAAAGGAAAATGAAAACAAATTGAAAGCAAATTGTCAATATGGTATTATTTTGCTTTAATTGAAGGAAATAACTTCCCATGAAGTAAGGCAAGTAATTTGATTGTATTAAGTTGTTTTAAAAATAATCTACTTGATTTTAGGTATAAATTTTAAAAGTATGGCTCTTAAGAAATCTCACAATGATGAAACTGATTAAATTAATTCAGAGGGTACAAGCCATCTTACAGAATCACAGAATGCACTAGGTTGGAAAAGACCTTTGAGATCATAAAGTTTAACCTATGACCTAACCCAACAGCTCCTCATCAACAAAACCATGGCACTGAGTGCCATGTCCTGTCTTTTTTTAAACATGTCCAGGGACAGTGACTCCACCACCTCCCCAGGCAGATGACTCCAGTGTGCAATCACTCCTTCAGTGAAGAATTTTTTTCTAATGTCTAACTTAAACTTCCCTTGGCACAGCTTAAGACTGTGTCCTCTTGTTCTGTCAGTGGTTGTCTGGGAGAAGAGACTGACCCCCACTTGACTACAGCCACCTTTCAGGTAGTTGTAGAGAGTGATAAGGTCTCCCCTGAGTCTCCTTTTTTGACAGGCTAAACAACCCCAGCTCCCTTAGCCGTTCTTCATAGGGCTTGTGTTCCAAGCCCTTCATCTGCCTCGTTGCCCTCCTCTGGATGTGCTTAAGCGTCTCAGCATCCTTCCTAAACTGAGGGGCCCAGAACTGGACACAGTACTCAAGGTACTCAAGTACTCAGTGGTTTAGCTTGACAAAAATATTTGGTTTGTCATTCTCTTCTTACATGTTTTTTCTTTAAAGAATGAAAAAAAGAATCTCTACTGTATAACTCCTGTGTAAATTAGAACATTTTCCAAAATTATTTATCATCTCAGCTTTGCATCTGATTCCTTATTTATCACCCAACAGGTATCAGAGATGACAATGGAGAGGTAACAATTAAGGCCATCCAAATGTAGATTAAATGTCTGAAGGACTGTCTTTGATGCAGGTGATCAGAAAATGCTTTGTATTCAGCTACTGCTTTTGTACAGTGGTGGTACCCGAAATGCATCTTTGCTTTCACCTATAAATCTCTTCTAGTAAAAAAAAAAAAAAAAAAAAAAAAAAAGCAAAAATGGAGTTTTAGTATTTTAACAAGGGAATCAAAAAATCCTTCTGAGAAATAAGTTGCTTTCTTGTCTACAGTATTGTGGTGGCAAATAGCAATAGAAATAATGTAAGATTTAGCTGAAAATAAGTAATAGCACAAACATTTCTGGAAAATACCACATAATTTTAAGAAGGCACTAAAGCTTCTGCTTGTGCTCCCATAGTTTTTTAAACAAGTAAGAAAAAAAATTTCATAATGGCACCTGTACTATTTGCAGCTGAACAGACACACTGCCGTACTATTCAAAACAAAGCTGTAAGTTACCATAATATCATATAAATGTGCTTACTTCTGGAAGGACAAAAATAAACAAAAAAACAAAACAACCCTGAAATAACCCAGTAAGCTAACCTATTATCTATAACATAGCCATGTTCCTTTTTGGAACAGAAAAGTATCATGCATTGTTCAAGTACTTTAAAAGAAATAATTATTTTAAGCATAACAGTAAGAAATTGTTTAAAATAAAATCCAAGAATCTCAAGAAGTAAGCAAATGAAAAACAAGCTAGTCAGTGGGCATTTAACATAAGAACCATAAAACTCTGTTTATGTTTAAAAATAATTTTAATTTATAACAGAAGAAAATGTGTACATTTATGCACCATTTTAAAGCACATCAAACAGTACACATTGAAGGTTTTGTAGATTTTTAACCTGAAAAGTAAGTCAATACAAAATTCATGAACAAGCAGAACTTTAAACAATCTTTGATGCATATATTCAGCTTTTTTTTTTTGATAGTACAGGTTTACATCTTTCAGTTTCTACTTATTCGTAACAGAAAATGGCAAAACTTAACATAAATCATTTTACAAGTACAGCCATCATGGAGATGCATGGATTTTCAGACATGAATAGTTCTGATGTCATCTGCCTTTTCAGGGTATAACTACTGGTCTGTACTCTCTTGCTTTACAGCAAGAAATTGACAAAACTGTTACTAGAATTGGAAGAGCTACTAGTACTATCACCATGTTCAGATTGATTACATTGATATTTTCTTCCTTGTTCTGGGAAAGAAAAAGTTTCATATTTCATCCCTTAGTTGAGTCAGTGGTCCATTTTTTGCTTTAAACCTCTTCCATTTTAATTGAATGGTTTTCGTCATTTGGTCGACAGTTCCCATTCTGTTGTAGTTGGACTTCACTAATCCTTTCTGTATCTCTATTGCCTACTTCCTTGTCAGTTTCTGAATTCTGATCCTCTTCAGTGTGATCTTTGTCCTACCAAAGATAAAATTATTAAAAAAAAATTGTCTTAGCATTACAAGATATAACTTCCAACCAATTACTGATATTTTGATTGCCTCAATTTTTACACGCCTTGTTTCAGCAATTTTCGGAATACAGGTATCAGGGGTTTTAAATTTTTTTAAATTAAAACACTTTTTTAAGATTTTTTTTTTGTAATTGGCTGAAGTTAGGCACTCATAATAACCTGTCACCCAAGAAATCATTGCCATAAAGTGATCTGTCTTTATGATCAATATTCGCGTAATACAGAACAAGCAGTATCATGGCACCTATGAGAAAAAGCTCCAGAAATCAGGACTTCAACATATTTTAAAAGTAAAACAGAATTGCAATTTTTCTTTTATATTTTTTGTCAGGTAACTGATAAATTTTAAGAGAGTTCTTGGGCAAGACAATTACTTAAGCATGTGGACAGGGTCACCTAAATCAGCTGTTTTATAACAGTTGAATAATTCTGAGTACTACAAACTACTCTTTAGAAGCATTCTGGGTTTTAAATGATAAATTAAACATTTGAAGATGTTCCTTTTCTTAATCACACCACCTTCTATTTTGCAAGGGAAAAATCCCATACTACTCTTTCCTCAAATCTTCAGTTTTATTCCTGCAGAGTCAAATATGCAGTCCAGGACCAAAGCAACCAGGGAGAGGCTGAACTGCAGAATGATGAAAGTTTATTAAAAATCCTTTCAGATCAAAAGCCTGTGCTGGTTTTGGCTGGGATAAAGCTAATTTTCTTCATAGGAATTAAAAGATGGGGGAAGGGGGGGGGGGGAATTCTGAGCAATGGTGTTTGTCTTCCCAAGTAAGTGCTACACATGATGGGGCCCTGCTCTCCTGGAGATGGCTGAATACCTGCCTGCCCATGGGAAGGAGTGAATGAATTCCTTGTTTTGCTTTGCTTGTGTGTGCAGCATTTGCTTTCCCTATTAAACTGCCTTAATCACAACCCACAAGTTGTCTCCCTTTTAGTCTTCTGATTTTCTCCCTCATTCCATCAGGGAGGAGTGGGTGAGAGAGCAACTGTGTGGTGCTTAGTTGTTGGTCAGGGTTAAACCACGACGGGCAAACTAACCCTGAACCCTGATGCTTAGTTATACAGTCTCCTTTATGCCTGCCCTTACAGATAGGCAGCCAGTCAATTCCTGACATATGACACAGAACAGAAGAGAGAGAAACCAAAACAAAGTGTTTCAGTAACCTATTCGCACAAGCTCCATCAAGTGGCAATACTTTGATAAAGAAAACAGGGGAAAAGAAGGGTGGGGAAAAGAAGGGTGAGGGAAAGAAAGATGAAGAAGGGAGGAAATTCCAATAGTTGTTCCACTTGTAGCACTCCACTGTTTATCACCTGGTCACACAGCTTACCTTCAAAGTAGTGGTGCTTTTGTCAGATCTCTCCTTTCCCTCTTTTACTTTACTAATTTTTTTCTTGAAGTATTCCCTTTCTTTTCTTTCATTATTTGTATCTCTTTCTCTTTTTTTCTCTTTCTTGTTTCTGTTTAAGAAAATTTTTACTCAAATCAGAATTTGATCCCACAGCAACAAATGTACTACCAATGCATACTCTGACTGTACTGTACAGTAAATTGTACAATAACTATGAATGTTGGTATCCTGGTTTGCTTTCTTTCAGAAAAGTTCAGTCACTTTGAAACATAACAAATATCCCTTCACAAAGACAAGTGAAGAGAGCGAAAGAATGCATGTGTTCAGTATACATGGTATTTGCAAAGAGCTAACAGATTAAAAACTCTCCAGTTGAAAGCATACCAAAGCATACCAAAGCATATCAAATACATAAAGGGCTTTTTGGTCTGTTTTAACTTAGAACTGAATCATACTGACCAATTAAAATTATCTGAGATAACTAATGAAAAGGCAGTAAATCAATGAAAATATTTCCCAAATTGTTTTCAATATATTTATCTGCATCCACTTTCAAGTGTTCTGCTTACTGAAAAATAGACCTTTTCCTTAGAAATGAAAATTACTAAAGAGCTTTTTCCAAACTAAAAAACCAAAAACCAGAAGAAACACAAATTGAGTTAGCTTATTTCATAACAGTGATCTCTATATCACATTTCAGTTAAAAAAAAATACTACAACTTTTTCCTCCTTTACTGTTCATTAACTTTTATGTTTACAGCAAACTGACCTTCTCGGAGAAGGAGTTTGTGAAGACTTTTTTTTGGTCGTTTTAGGAGACTTGGAGAGACTTCTACTCTTTGTTTTACGTCTTTCTCTGGAGGACCAATAAATTTAAGATCACCAAAGAAGAAAAATAATAAACTCAGCAGCTGGATAAAACCAGAAAGCTCTTAAAACGATCTGACAGAACTAAATAAATATTCCTGAATATAACATTATCTATGACCAATAATATATGAACCATATAAACAAAACAAAAAAAAATTATGTTTCAGTTTGATGGGAAAGGAGAGAATGGAAGTGAGAAGTAGGAAAAAAAAGTTCTGCCCTTCCTTTCAGATTTTAGTTTTATGCTTATCCTCACATGCTTGTACTTATATGTGATAACAATGGAAACACACTGTATTCACTAATCTTGTACTAAGTTTCTTCAGTCAGGAAAATAATACAATTGAATGAAAAGACAAATTAAGACAAAAGGCGTAAACTTGAGCAATACACACTTCAAAAATTAACATTGCAAGCTTAAGATCACTGGAATTCCAGTTCAGCATGACTGACATTTAATTCCTGAATACATAAACTAGCATTCATATTGGTTTAGTAGCAAGCAGTACAAAATGAATCTCAAGCTGTTGTCAAAATCAAAATGAAAATGTTAATATCAATTGTTTTCCTAGCAGTCCATGCTCAGCAAACCTATGCATTATTCTATAACACACTGAAGAGCTCTTAGTATTTTACAAAACAGCTGTTTTATACAGATGTATGAAATTTGATGAAGTTGCTGTTATGGAGTCTGATCTCAAATAGAACAGAACATTAAATAACTGGTTGCAAACATACTGAAGCACATGTTAAAATAAAGTAAAAATTGATCAAGTAAAAGCTTCATTTAACATAAACATACTACCTATCTGTCAAAGATGACTCTTTCCTATCACCTCTTCATAGGGCAGGAAAAGCAGACAGGAAGAACCAACAAAGACAACAGGGAAGTTAAAAACTAATTGTCAGGGCATTTTAAGACACAACACAAAAGTTACACTTATGTGTACCAGCTTTTGCAATTCCCACTGATTTTCTTTAATATTTAGGAAGGCCAAGAAAACAACAGTTATTAGATAAATTACAAAAGCATAAATTAAGATATACCTAGTATCACTATTTGGATTCATACTCTAATGGTATCATCTAGCTTGATCTCCTGATGCTGCACAGGACAAAAGTTCATAACTAATTTTTTTCAGCGAGTTCTTAAGTTTGATTAAATTTTTGGTAAACAAAGATATAAAGTGGCCTCAAAATCATGGAAAGAACCTCCACAATCATTGATCAGCTGTTAACTAGTTAACATGCACCTCATTTTGAACATCCTTACATTTATCATCACCATTTTTCAAATGGGGACATTGGAAATTAATATATTGTTCTGACAGTGTTCCCACTTGGTCTACATTGAGTAAATCCCCTTTATTTTGTTTTCCTGCATACATATCTGTGAGCAACCAAGTAAGCGCCCTAGTAATTATGTTTCAACTAGAAACCATTTATTCATTAAATCTAATTTTCAGTTTCTGCTTTTCATATTTCAATTTGAAGAACTACAGCTGTGTCTGACACCATTCCTACCTCTATGTTACATTTGTCTATAAAAAGATTTTTGTGTGCCTATTTCTATTCACACTCTTAAGGAACACTAATACAGCAAAATTTAAGGAAAAATAGTTTGAAAAATTTGATACTGATTTTGTGACTCTAAATCATACACATTCTTGTCTCAAAGGGAAAAATTCCACAGGGTAATGACATGAGCCAACTTCCTGTTGATTTAAATAAAGTTCACTAGAAGTCACTCCAAGATTTGCCTTAGACCAACATCAGGTCTAGCGGTGCTATAATTTTTTGAATTCTGAGACAGACAGAAGCTTTGAGGCAGAGACATTTCACACCACCTGTCCCCAACTAGCAGTACTTGGAAGAATGGTGGTAGTGTGGAATAAGACCCCCTCTACTCCACTCTCGTGAGTGTTGAGTAATACATTCTGTGCAAGTAGCTCAGTGCGCAGCTGCAGTGCGAGCTACAGATTAAACTCTGTGTGGTGGAAAATAGCGAGAGCCCCAGGAAGAGGCTGTGAACTGGCACTGACCTTTTGCACAACAAAGGGCACAGGGACCTGTAGCACCAGCCAGGTGATCGGACACTCAGAGACACAGCAGGAGCTGAGGACTCAGCAGGAAGACCCCAGACTATTGTGCAGATAGACTGGAAGGATATAAAAGCCCAGGGATTCAGTTGTTCAGGGTTCCTCCTTGAAGGCACCAGCTTGAGCTGTTTCTGTTACTGCACTATGAATAAATTAAGGAATCAGATGTCTGAGACTGCTATGGGAAACCTGGGGTTGAGCCAGTAACAAAATCATATGAGAGTGGGGTGTGTAAAAAACACAATAAACTTGCTTATCAACAACCTGGACAAAGGGACAGAATGTACCCTCAGTAAGTTTGCTGATAATACTAAACTGGGGGGAGTGGCTGATACACCTGAAGGCTGTGTTGCCATTCATCAGGACCTTGATAGGCTGGAGAGTTGGGCAGACAGAAACCTAATGAGGTTCAACAAGAGTAAGTGTAGGGTCCTGCACCTGGGGAGGAATAACCCCAAGGACCAGTATAGGCTGGGGCTGACCTACTAGAGAGCAGCTCTGTGGAGAAGGACCTGGAAGTCTTGGTGGATGACAAGTTGACCATGATCCAGCAGTATGCCCTTGTGGCCAGGAGGGTCAATGGTATGCTGGGGTGCATTGGGAAGAGTGTGGTCAGCAGGTCGAGGGAGGTGATCCTCCCCCTCTATTTGGCCCTACTGAGGTCACACCTGGAGTTGTGTGTCCAGTTCTGGGCTCCTCAGTACAAGAAAGACAAGGAGTTACTGGAGAGGGTTCAGTGGAGGGACACTAAGATGATGGGGGGGGGGGGTCAGGTCTGGAGCATCTCTCTTATGCAGAAACACTGTGGGAGATGGGCCTCTTTAGTCTAGAGAAAAGAAGACTCAAAGAGGATATCATCACTACATATAAATATCTCAAAGGTGGGTGACAAGAGAATGGTGCCAGACTCAGTGGTGCCCAGTGACAGAACCAGGAGCAATGGCCATGAACTAAAACACAAATAGTTCCATCTCAACATGAGGAAGAACTTCTTTATGTTGTGGGTGGCAGAGCACTGGAACAGGTTGCCCAGGGAGGTTGTGGATTCTCCCTCTCAGGAGACATTCAAAACTCACCTGGCCACATTTTTCTGTAACCTGCTCTAGGTGACACTGTGTTCCAGCGCAGTCTAGATCAATTCACAGCAGATTGTGGGGCTGTGTTTCCACCCCTGGGGCAGTTGGTTCCAGGTGTATTGGATTTCCCTCCAAGTGAAAGCAAACTGTGGCCTGCACTCTGCCGCCAAAGGGATTGAGAAAAATGCATTAGTGATATCAGTTGTGGCACCATTTGGCTGCTTTTGATTCCAGCTCATATTGAAGTTCCAACATGTCTGGAACGGCAGCACTCAGAGGTGGTGTGACTTCATTCAGGCCACGATACTCTACTATCAGCCTCCATTCCCCATTAGACTTTCACACTGGCCATATGAGGCTGTTAATGGGTGAGTGTGTTCTGCTGATCACTCCTTGGCTCTGGGTGGGAGTTTAAGAGTCTCAGTTGGTGCAATATTGCTGCCGATGCACTGTCCTGGTAGCAATTGGTATTTGCTGGTCTTCAACCTGCAGCAATCCCATGATGAAGGGATCTTCGGAGAGGTCAGGCAGGGTGGATAACTGTTTGATTTTTCTGTATTCACAGCTACACCAAAAGCCCACCAATACCCTTTTGGATCCTTGAAGTACCTTCTCCTGAGGTAGTTGATGCCAAAGATACAAGGCACCTCAGGGCCAGTCACAATGATATGCTTTTCCCATTTGTCCCGTTAAACTCACCTCAGCCTCTAATACAGAGAACTCCTGGCCTCCCCCTGTCCAGAGATGCAGATGGATTCCGCACTCTTCTGCCTTGATGGCATTAGTGTGCACTGTGCACCAGTATCTATTAAAGCTTTATACTTCTGGGGATCTGATGTGCCAGGCCATTAAATACACACAGTCCAGTATACCCGGTCATCCCTTTCGTCCTCCTGGCTGAAGGCAGGGACCCTCTGTTCCTGGTCAGAGTATTCACTGTCTGACCTTTGGGATGCCAGATCAGAAGTGTCCTCACCACGGTTAATGGAAGTGATTTCAGTTATTTTATGTCTGGGAGATCACTGATTGCCTTCTTTTCTTTCTGCAGCAATGACACGGAGTCATTTTGGATGACCCTTTCTTAACAGCTCTCTTCCCTCTCAGTTCACAGACATGGCCTTCCAGCTTAAAGGTGGGTTCACCATCCCACTTCCTCATACCCTCCCTCTGGTCACACAGAAAGAACCAGAGTTCACCACACTGCCTGAGCTTGGGACTTCCCTCTGACCAGAGCAGGAGAGGACAGATCTCTTGGGCTGCCCCTAAAAGCTGGGGTGCTAGCTTGTAGGCATGAGGAAGTACCCAGTGTTTCTTCTACATTTCAGAGCCAGGAGGATGCCATCTCTACAGTTGGTGTATCCATTTGTGGATAATACAATGATACCAAGCTGCTGGAATATGATGCAGGGGAACTTTGAACCACCTTCCTCCACATGGCCATTGTACAAGGGACATCCTCTGGATCTTTAGGGACTCTGTCACTTTTTAGATCACTATAGATTATTTCCAGCACTGCTACTTCTCTGTACTGGATACCTTTGTCTGTAGTGGTCCACTTTGCTGGGGAGCTCACAAGATCTTCCTTAAATGGATATCTTGCCCTCACGCTTGAGAGAAGCCATTTCCAGAGTCTGCAAATTTCTCCTTCCTTTCCAGTTCCTCTTTCAATTTCCTGATCCTTAGGAAGGGATCCCAGCTGTTTGGCTTCATGACCTTCTAACTACTGACTGTTGGCCCCATTATCCCAGCACAAAAGCAGCCAGGCAGAAATCTGCTCACCTTGCTGGCGGCTGTAATCTTTTTGCAAGTCT